TTTTCCGTATCTTGAATTACGGCATATTGGAACTAGTTCGGAGAGGCAACAGCTTGGCCGCTTATTTTCTTATATTATCGGTTTTAGTCCTCAAAAAATCCAATTTCTTGAATCAAGGTGACCTAGGTTGTTGGAGAGCGCTATACTGTTGTAATTCTTAGCTCTGATTATCTGGTTCAGGAATCTGAGTGGTCCAGTGAGATGGGGTCAACAGAAACGGATGTTGAAAATGAAAGAGTAAGGGACTCAGTAGATGGACAAAAGTTGGTAAAAGAGCAGCCTTTATCAGGCAGTGGAAGTAGTAGTCAAAAGACGAGTTCTGAACGTAAAAATGCTTTATCATATGCCAACATTCTCCGCTCGAGGAACAAATTTGTGGATGCCATTGCTGTCTATGAGAGTGTGTTGGAGAGGGATGGTGAAAACGTTGAAGCTCATATTGGTAAGGGATTTGCCTGCAGATGCAAAACTTGGGGAGGCACGCATACGAGAGTTTTGCTGAAGCCGTAAGGCTGGAACCACAAAATGCAAGGGCACTCACACATTGTGGTATCTTGTGTAAAGATGAGGGTCGTCTGGTGGAGGCAGCTGAGGTAAACATGCTTGCACTCATCACAGCTCAATATCACTTTCTGAATTTATGATTGTCTATTTCTTTGAAGAACTGCTTATTTTACTTTCTGAATGAGATCCTACTCTTTTAAAATCTTCAGTATTTGTCGAATATGTCGGAAAGTGCTGATATAACCTGACAACTTATGTTAATGTTCTAGCATTTGTAAAATCGGCTGTTTGAATTGGTCTTAAGTGTTCCATTTCTCAACTCTTTCGCCCCTCCCATTTTTTTTCCCTGTCATCAATGTATGAGATCTCGTGGGAGTTTTATGTGGAGAAATTATTATTACGCAATTCAGGCTTTATCAAGTCCATCCAACTCCCTTGTTCAATTTTGCTCTTGGTGCAGATGTATCAGAAAGCTCTAACGGCTGACCCATCATACAAGCTAGCAGCAGAATGCTTCGCAATTGTCTTAACAGATCTTGGCACCAGCCTAAAGCTTGCTGGAAACCCCCAGGAGGGAATTCAGAAGTACTATGAAGCTATTAAGATCGATCCACACTATGCTGTAATTCCATGTTTCACAGCTTAGATTAGCATATTTGCTTATCACTGATTTTAGCGTCCAGGCATTTAAATTTTGATGTATCAGCTTTCTGTATGCAGCCTGCTTATTATGACCTTGGTGTTGTGTACTCCGAAATGATGCAATATGACACGGCCCTTGATTTTTATGAAAAAGCCGTTGTAGAGCGACCCATGTATGCCGAAGCATATTGCAACATGGGTGTTATCAATAAAAATCGAGGGGATTTGGAGTCAGCACTAGCCTGTTATGATAGGTGCTTAATTGTTCACTTTGCCACCTTCACTATGAATTACTGGCTTGGTGGTCTTTCATCTATCTGATATAGTAAGGGTTTGTTTCTTGGTATTATGCTGTGCAGGTGTCTAACTGTTTCCCCAAATTTCGAGATTGCAAAAAATAACATGGCCATTGCCTTAACAGATTTAGGCACGAAGGTATTGTGTCTTTCTCTCCCTGTTTATGTCATATGCAACTCAGCTGCCCATGGATTGGCAAACATACCCTTCCTATGGATCAGACAAATGAAGATGGGTTATGGTCATTAAAGTTTGAACAATTGCAGTTTTTGTATCATTTTATTTCTTCAATTCCTTTGTTATAAGCGACATGATGATTATACATCCTATCATTGTTTGAAATTAGCAAATGCTAAAGTCTTTTGCCTGATTCATCTCCTGTTATTCTTATTCATTGGCTGTTAACATCATTGTATAGAATCAATCGTGTTTGAAGAAAACTATGGGTGTGGTGTTTAGATTGTATACTGCATCATAACACCTTGGTGTTCTCACACTCATCATTGCTATGTATATCATGAATTTGTGGAATGGGCTATTTGACTCACTATGCTTCTTTGCAGGTTAAATTGGAGGGTGACATCAACCAGGGTGTTGCATATTATAAGAAAGCTCTTTGCTATAATTGGCACTATGCTGATGCCATGTACAACCTTGGTGTTGCTTATGGAGAAATGCTGAACTTTGACATGGTAATTGAAATAAAATGCTTGTCCAAATTTGCGCTTTTATTTGCAATCTTGTAATCTTAGAAAGTTCTAATCATAAGACATCACTTGAGATTTGCCATGGACGTCGTTTCTTTTATATACATTTGATTCATCTTATAAGCAATACAAATATTTTACTTTTTATGTGTGTGTAGTTATTATAGACTGGAAATTGCGGAAGATACCCCTGAATTGTTGCATCCTTTTTGGATGTTTCTTGTTTGATGTATTATATTGCACCTGATTATCATTTTTATTTTTATATTGACATCCTACTTATGCAGGCTATTGTATTTTATGAACTTGCATTTCACTTCAATCCCCATTGTGCGGAGGCATGCAACAATTAGGGGTGCTATACAAGGACCGTGAAAACCTCGATAAAGCAGTAGAGTGTTACAAGGTAAATATGAAGCTTGTATGTTTATTTATAAGCACATTCTATGTTTGGCTGTATGCTCATCCTATGCATATGCATTTGCAGATGGCTTTATCTATAAAACCTAACTTTTCACAGTCACTGAACAATCTTGGAGTTGTGTACACTGTCCAGGTCTGGCATCTAGGTGTCTTTATTTATTTATTTATTTATTTTTTGTATGTTTTAATATCATTATGAGTACTATCATTAATACTGTTTTTGTTATTATTTATTATTATTCATTGCTTTCAGCTTGGATGGTAATTTCTGAGCATTATTTCTTCGTATAGGGTAAAATGGATGCTGCAGCAAGCATGATTGAGAAAGCTATTGCTGCAAATCCGACATATGCAGAGGCATATAATAATTTAGGTTTCTCTCTCTCTCTCTCTCTCTCCCCCCATCTTAACATTGCCAAAAACCATTATCTAGTTTGATAATGGGGTTTCCTACTGCTGTTCTCTTGGTACAAGGATAGCTACAAATATTAAGGTTTTTCAAATTTTGAATTAATGTAAGATAATATCAAATTCATGTAACCAACCTTGGTTGGGTGGATAATATGACAATATTACCTAGACTCATGGGGCTTCCCTATACAACTCTTGCCCCTTCAAGACTCTTATACTCCTAACTAGTCTACAATACTCTTGACCCATCTACATGAGTCTCTGAAAGATCTCTCCTACCGTTAAGCACTGGGATAGAGGTAGACAGAAGACCTAGAGGCTGGTTTGGGGGTTTGGTTAGATGGAAAATTTGTGAAGGGGTTGGGCAGTAGGGTTGATGGTTGCATTAGTTGAAAGGACACCTGTAAAAGTTTTCATGATTATATATATGTATATATTATATCTTTGCATCCATATCGTAGCTAGTCTCATAAGTAGTTCTTTTGAATGTGCAGGGGTTCTTTACAGAGATGCTGGTAACATATCTCTAGCAGTTGAAGCATATGAGCAGTGCCTCAAAATAGATCCAGACTCTCGGAATGCAAGCCAGGTACTGCTTCTCTTCTCTTGTGAATGTTTAGCTCAGGTTATGTTTGAACATTTTATTCCGTCGTGGATCTGCTTTCTCTTCCTGAAACCTGGCATATTTTGGAGTACAAGTGTACAACGCTTATTTATCATGTTAACGAGATATCTGAAGTGTGCCAGTGAACTTTATTGTCCATAATGTGGGTCATTACATATTAAAACTTAGCAGATAAACAGTAGGGTGAAGAAGGTGCAAGTCTCAAGATTTTAGCTATGTTTGTATTCTTTGATTTGTTTTTGATTTAGATTACTTTTCTGGTTAATTTTCCTGCTGGTCGTTCCTTCCTCTTCGATTTATGAATTTGTAGAAGGTTCGGCAAGGAAAAATATGTTTATTTGTCTTTCCTATACGATCTTCATTCAAATGTCAAATGAGTTTCACTTGTAACAGATATTCTGTGAAACTTCTGAACTAGCTTGTTTATGCTTAATTATAAATACTATTATTAACCCATTATTTGGTGGTGCAACAATGGTGTGTTCCTTTAAATCCTATACCCCTCAACCCCCAACCCACCCCCACACGAACACCGCATTCCAACTCAGCTATGTTCACCAACCACAAAAACAGAAAGGAAGGCGAGAAAGTAATGACTGTGGCACCTCATGCATGCATGCCATCAATTGCATTATGCCTTTATCTGATGGCATGTACTTCTAGTAGTTGTATTTTTAGTTCTTTAAATTTTTTTAACAAAGATTAATGATGGAACAAGGTATCCTGTGTCTGGGTGTTGGTGGTCACTTCAAGAGTGCTATTTTCAGTTTGAAGCTTAATGATAAGGAATGGATGACAGTACAGTTTTATTACTTTCTTTTAGCAATCTTGGTTGAAGCTCTGCCATTTATAACCTTTGTGTCTATTATATATGTATGGATGGATGGATGGATAGACTCTTTGAAGCTTGTTTATTGTCTAAACTTTTAAATGCACATCTTGCAGAATCGCCTACTTGCATTGAACTACATAAATGAAGGCGCAGACGATAAATTATATGATGCTCACAGGTCTAAACTTTAACCATATGTAATTGTCCTTTCCTAATATGATGGACATTGAACTTTTTTCTATACTTGTAATGTGAGAAAATTCTTTTTATGTGTCATGCTACGCAAATGCATGTACATGTATCTGTCGGACTATAAATGCTTTTTTTGGGCATGTGTCCATTAGGGTTGTAGACGAATCGAATCGAAACGAATACTCAACTATTTAATTCAAATTCGTGAAAATTTTTGACTCTATTCGTTATCGAATTTAATTTGCGATTCGTATTCAATTCGAAATTTAGCGGTTAAGAGTCGGTTAAGAGAGACCTTAAAGATTGAAATATCTCCAATGATTTAGCAGTGGATAGGAGCGCTTGGAGGCTCGCTATCAACGTGCCAGATTAGTGACTTTTGCTCCTTTCTCTCTATCTCTCGTTTTTTTTTTTCGATCTCTTCCTTTCGGTTCGAGTCTTTTTGTGTTTCTCTTGGGTTTCATCTCTAGCCTACCCCGACTTGCTTGGGACTAAAGGCTATGTTGTTGTTCTTGTATTCAATTCGAAATTTGTATTCAGAAGTTACTTATAAATACATAAATATATTTATATGAAAATATTCGATATAAGAAAATAAATACAGAAATATATTATATTTTTTTTTTGAAAAATAATATATATTTTAAATATAAATTACATACAGAAATATATTTTTAAAATATATTAATATATTTTTTAAAATATAAATATATTTTTATTTTTTATATTATATTATACCTAAAATATTATATAAATAAATTTTATATTCTATATAATATATATTAAATTTTATATAATTATTATTAACGAATTGAATATTCGATAATTTTGTATTGTGTATGGATTCAGATTCAGATTCGAACTAGGTTTGAATAATAAAAATTATTATTATTCGAATTCGAATTCGAATTCGAATTTTTACGAATACGAATCATGTATCGAATAAAAAAGTTTGATTCTTTTACAACCCTATGTCCATGTGGTCTTGTCATGTACATATATTTTGATTTTTAGTAGGTAATGCGTCATTTCACCACTAATATCACAACGTGTTCAATATGCATTTCCTTTTTTAGGAATTTAGACTTTTACATTGAACTCAAAAAGTCGAAGTGCACAAACATCTATTGTACTGTACTTTCCAGATTGGTCTACTATTCACTGACAGTAAATATAATTTGTTTGTTGAACTGAATTTCTAGATAGAGATTACATGTGACATTTGATGGCATCTGAAATTACGTTGTGAGCCGATATTAATTGATTTTCTGCAAATGACTGCTAGCGAATATCCTCATATGCACATCAAAGACACATGGTTACGGAACTTTGGAATGAATCTGTTCTGTTGAATAGATAAAGTGGCTGTACGACATTGATGAATCTTTCAACATATCCCTTGAGTTCTCTCTGTTTTTTCTGAGTCAAAAATTAAGAAACTTTATTGCATTTCTTTGACAGTGGTGGCTAAATTTTTCATTTAAATGACATTGATATTGCGACTATTTTTTCTGTTAAAATGTACAACTGCAGGGACTGGGGTAGGCACTTTATGAGATTATTTCCGCAATATACTTCCTGGGAAAACATTAAGGATCCAGAAAGGCCTCTTGTTATTGCATACGTGTCTCCTGATTATTTTACTCATTCTGTGTCATATTTCATTGAGGCACCAATTATCTATCATGACCATGCAAGCTACAGGGTGGTTGTCTACTCAGCAGTCGTCAAGGTATAAAATGTTGCAGCCCTTCCTCACCAAGTTTCTTGAATTCTGCCCATTTTAACTGCCTAAATGTGCAATCACTTTATTTTTCCCCCAATCAAAGTTTTTATTGTTTAGAATGATTGGTCTGTAGAACTCGAGAGCTTTGAATATACTTTATGGATCTCCCTTTTATGATGTGGCAGGCAGATTCGAAAACAAACAGACTTAGGGATAGAGTCCTGAAAAATGGTGGAACATGAAGGGACATTTATGGGAGAAAAAAGTGGCGAGTATGGTTAGAGAAGATAAAATTGATATCTTGGTGGAACTCACTGGTCATACGGCAAACAACAAGCTGGGAATGATGGCTTGTCGACCTGCACCTGTTCAGGTATTTATGATTCTATAAGTTAATTTACTTCATTTTTTTTGTTGAACGGGCATTTGACCTTCTATTTCACTTTGTTATTGTTTTGTGGGAAGAGTTCTTTTTCATATGGCCTTTGAAGTTAGAATTTTCAATGCTTATATTGGTAAACCTAGTTGATAGCTTATAAGTGAATTTCGAGCTTATAGCTGATAGCTTATTGTGAATTTCGAGCTTATAGTTGATACAGTGATTAAAATAGCGCGCCATGGCGAGGCGGGGCTTCGACGCCTCATACCCTTGAGGCGAGGCGACCTTGTGAAAGGCGACGCCATGGATGTAGCGTAGCGTAGCGTGAGGCGACGCCTTATTAAAGTGAGGCGAGACAGAGAAATTTGGGTATTTTTATAACTTAGGGTTTCATTTACAGGAGATTAAAACTTATCAATTACAACAATTACTTACCAAACTACAAAATTACCATGTGCCTTTTGTTCCACCGCCGACGGCGACCAAATTCCGGCAGCTAACCGGCAACGGCGACGGCGAGCGGTATATGTTCCAGTTTTTTCCTTTTCTTCTTCTTTTTCTTTTTTCCTTTCTTGCTTCACTCCTTCTTCACCAGTACGGCAATAGTGCCTATTGTGTAAGTCGCTGGCTCCGGCTAAACTTTCGTCACCGGCGGCTGGCGGTGCTTACAGCAACCGGCCGGGATGAAAAGCGAACACTTCAAATAAAGAAATTCAATTCCGCACGGGATTCACGAGGGCTATGCGGATTCTCAGACATATGAAATAGAATAAAGATGGACTAACTTGTTTTTTATTGAACAGTAGACATTATATTATTACTTTAATTGGGAATTTGGCATAATGTGGGATTGTGGGGTGGGTTGATGTTTATTTTAATTGGGATCATGTGGGTTGATGCTATTTCTATTTCTAGTTTATTTAATATTGTTTTATTTTAATATGGGTGTTTTGTTGCATGTTTATTAGCTATTATAATTTATCTTTTTATATATAATTGTGTCATAATTTGGTAAAATGTCACATGTACATATATTTCTATTTTTTGTATAATGGCTCGCCTCGCTTTCATAAGGCGGGTGCCTCGCCGCACGCCTCACGCCATGGCAAATTTGAGCCTTGTCGCCTCGGCTCGCCGCGCGCTATTTTAATCACTAAGTTGATAGCTTATGACTTATGGCTGAAAAATTAACTTATATGATAAAAGTGTTTGGTGAAATTAGCTGATAAACTAGATGAAATAAAAATTTCAACGGGCTTATTTGAAAAGCTACCCAAGGAAGCATATGATATAAGTTGGAGTTTTTTCAAAAAGTTCGTCCTACTCAACCAAGCTTATTTGGATACATGAAGCTTATAAGCTAATCAAATAAGCTATAAGCTAGCTTATGGTGCTCACCAAACACACTCTTAATCTTGTTAGTTTTTATTTGTTCAAGTTTGTAGTACACTGAAATATACAAATCAACTTGGCCTCTGCATTACTGCTAACCATTGCTTCATATTTCATATGTTTACAGCTAGCAGAAGTTCTAAAGTCTATTTTCAAATACTTAGAACAAAAAATATCATCACTTGAGAATGCTTAAAAAGCTTCGAGTAAGACCCATGACTAAGGAAAACATCACATCTGCTAATGGCTTCTGTTTGTCTGTCGGGTATTGCAGGTGACATGGATTGGCTATCCTAATACAACTGGTTTGCCTGCCATCGATTACAGGCTAACGGATGCACTAGCTGACCCGGTTGACTCGAAGCAGAAGTAAGTTTAGCTTTTCAAAATCTTCCTCTGCTTCACACTTACAATGTATACCGTAGCCTAATTTTAGCTTATCTAATAATTGTATCACTCAACTTTCTGTTAATGGCAGGCACGTTGAGGAGTTGGTTCGATTACCTCACTCCTTTCTATGCTACACTCCTTCCCCTGAAGCAGGGCCCTTTTCTCCCCCTCCTTATCTAGCTAATGGATTTGTACTTTTGGTACCTTCAACAATCTTGCTAAGGTTTTGATTTTTTTTAATTATTATTATTTTTATTATTTTTTTCC